AAATTTACTTATAAAATTTGCAGATCCTCTCCAGATGATAGATAAATTGTCTATTAAACTACTATAAAATATAATCTAAATTTATATTTATAATTTAAATTATTTTTTATAAATAAATAATAATTTAATATAAATATATATATTATATAAAAGTTTTTATTAAATTTAGCAAATTGTAATATCACAGGTTAATATATGTTTAAAAAAAAATTAAAATTATTATTAGTTAGGTTTAGGGTTCGAGCTAGTATTAGAAGGCATATAAATATGCAAAATTAAGTGTTGAAAACTTTTAATTAGAAGTCTAAGACTAGTTTATATAATGAAATTTCGAGATATTTAAAACTTTGACTTTTTTCTTAAATTTTTCTAATTTTTCATTTATTTTTGTTATACAAGATTCTGTGATCTAATTGGTTAACAATATTAACCTATGATATAGCAACCTGTGATATTTAACAATATCCTATATACAGTAAATTATTATATTTACCTTATTTTAAAGTACTATATATAATAAGAATACTTTTAAGTATTTTAAGATTTAAATTTGATCTTTGTTCATTAATTATTAATTCAGCTATACTAAATTTTCTTTCACTTGGTACACTAAAAGCTGGAATTGAAAAATAAAATTTAGATAAAATTAAAAGTTTTGGATATTCTTTTTCATGATTTTCTACTATTCTAAAATATTTAAATCTGTATTTTTGCTACTTTATAAGCTAAATATTGATTAATTTTATTTAAACTATCTTCTTCATTACTTGAATCATAATATTCACTAAAATCTGTAAAATTTTTGTTAGTTTTTTGACATAATTTTTTTGTTAATCTTTCTTGATTATCTATATATAAATTATTGGAATTAAAATTATCTGTTTCAATTAAAGAATATTGTTCTTTAATTTGATTATTAATCCATGTCATGGCTGATGCTGAAGTTGGCTGATGCTGAAGCTAACATGACAAACCCAAGTCAGAAATAAAGATCGTATACTATGTGATACTGACGTCGACACACGTACGTACACACCTGATACGGTCTGCTGTTATGCACATTGTGCATAAAAATTCTCAAAAACAAACAATTGTTTTTTAGATGCTTATTCATTGCCCACAATACCTTGGTATGGGTGACTTTTTTTATACAAAAATTTTTTTAAAATTACATTGTATATATTCGCAATACTCACCTACGTACTGCCCAAGATGGTTTTAAATAGAGTT